TGGACGTTTAGAAGAGCTTTGGCCTTCCACCTGGCTAGGACTAACAGTTTAGGAGATTGCTTAGACTTTTCATCTCTTTTGCAAATAGATCTAAGTGGATTCTTATCTCTTCTCAGAGACTTTTGAAAAAGGGTTTTATCTCTACCTGTTAGGACTCTGCAGGTGCTCAGCCTATAGGGATGAGAGCACATTCAGCCAGATCACAGGCAACATCTACTGCATTTTTGAAGACCATTCCAGTAAGTGAGATATGTAGAGCCACTGCTTATATTTCAATCCATACAGTTTGAAAGCATTAAGTCCTGTTTTGTCCCATCAGATCTGATGCAGCACTTGTATGTGCAGTACTTGCTTCAGTTCTGGACCCTGTTCCAAAGCTACCTCCTCCTTCTCCCAGGAATACTGCTCAGAACAAAAGTGAAGGGGGGACACTACTTGAAAAAAAGAAAGAAAGGAAGAGTTACTCATCCTATCCAGTAAATAGTTATTCAAGATATTTGTCCCTATGAGTGCTCTATTATCCACCATCCTTATCCCCTGCTCTGGTTGTTCCCTCGGAAGTGCCTAGGTAAAGAAATATCTGATGCTCATGAAGCCATATTTAGCCCACACGCCTGGTGTTCCAGCTGGGTAACAGGGTCAGGACACAGAGGCACCCATTTTTCTGGTTCTCCCCAATTAGCCAGGGCTCCTGGGCATAGGTCATGTTGGCTCAGGAGCTTATCCATTATTGCTGCTAGTTAGAAATCTCCCATCAAGGGCTGGAGCGGCACATGCACAGCCTGAAGTGGCACACTCACAGGGACATACATCTCAAAGAACTCCAGTTACTGCATAGGGTGAGTAACTCTTTCTTCTCGTGCAGATTTTTTCCAGTATTGCCTTAATTAAGAGCCTGTTAATTCTGGAATTCTAGTAAATGGCTATTTTATCAGCTGAAACCATGTTTAATATTAGTGAACGATAAACTGTGTATTTTATACAAAAACAGCTCTGACATTCTATAGCACTTTGGCAACCACAAAATTGTTCTTCACACAGCTGTTTGCTAATATAAGTGTCTTGAAGTTTTTATTTATTAGCATCCCGTAATGCATAAATCTATTTTTATCATTATTATCTGAACCATTGTTATTGTTAAAACTATTGTGTTCAACTGGATTCAATACTGAGAGGCTGCCACCAGTTCATTGTAGCTAATGAAAATTTATTGACCATTGTTAACCACACTGGGGCCCAGAGGGCCCTCATTTGGGTAGAGTACAAAACAGACAGGGTTGTTATAAAACGAGTAGGATGCATTGCACCAAGTTGTCTGTGAATTTTTGTGCTGCATTAAATTTCCTCTTTTGACTCCTTTATCCCCATTGTCCT